TACCCGGCTCAGGCTTTTAAAGAGGCGCACCAGCCACTTCGCTGGGAGAAAGGCTCGGGCGCGCCAAAGGAGCTGGGGAGACGGATCGGGTCCCCTCTGGGCTTGGCTCGCTGGCTGGCCCCGCGTCTCTGGCTTCTTCCCCGTCCTTCCGCGGCTTCCTTCTCGGCCAGCAGCTCCGCGCGGACTTGGCCACCGAACTTGGGCGCTCCCTCGCCAGTCCCGATCGCCCAGCCAGGCTCAGCCCGGAGGTGTCGCTCCGCTCTTCTCGCGCCGGCCCGATGTGGAGTCACTTCTCCTTCCCGAAGTAAACAGACTCGCCCGCCTCCCGGCCCCGGTCCCGATCCCCTTCCCCGTCCGGCATGCTGCTGTTGTTGCTGCCCGTCTGGGCAGGGCTGGCCGCCTGGGCGTGGGGGGCATCGGGTGCCCAAGAGAGCCCCCCCGGGAGCCGCTTCGTGTGCACCTCGCTGCCCCTGGATGCCGCCAACCCGGGCTGCCCGCTGCCCCCCATCCCGATGCAAGGCGGTGGGCTACCCCCGGAGCAAGAGCTGAAGGCGACGGTGCTGCAGCTGCGGGAGACCATCCTCCAGCAGAAGGAGACCATCGGCACCCAGCGGGAGACCATCCGGGAGCTGACCGACAAACTCGGCCGCTGCGAGAGCACCGGCGCTTGGAAGAAGGAGGTCGCCAAGGGCAAGGACACCATGGGCGACTTGCCCCGCGATCCGGCGCTGGTCATCGACCAGCTCAGCCGCACCATGCAGACCCTCAAGGATCGCCTGGAGAATCTGGAGGTGAGGGTTCGGGTGGGACTCCGGGGTAAGAAGCGAAGCAGCGACGCCACCGGGGTAGGAGCTCTCCGCGGTGCTGAAAGTTACTTAGGCGGGGAAGCGAGGGTCCTGCGCTGTCCGCGGTGCTGAAAGGCGGCTTTTTGGGTGATTCGGGGCTGCCGCCACTGGTTGCTGTCCCGGGGTCTCACGACTTTCCTTCTGTTGCTGAGGTCCGGAGCTGGCCAGCGAACAGTGAGATCTCTCCATGTTGCTGAAGCTGGCGTGGTGGGGTTGGAAAAGATGGTCTTCAGGAACGTGTATGGCTGGGTTCAGGCCAGCAAAACACGTTTCACAGCCCTGGGTGCAAAGCATGGAGCTTCTGACTAGTGTGTGTATTGGGGGGGGCGTTGAGATCTTTCCCTCCCCTTCTTCACCCTTTCCCCTTTCCTCCCGAGCTTAGTGGCGGTCCTGGAAGAATAGATTTTTTAAATAGCTGTCCTGAGTTCTTCTTGGCAAGCCACCCGGGAGCTCTCCTTGGTGCTGAAAGTTGGCTGAAAGGGAACCCTTGAGGCTGGTTGACAGCCTAGAGCTGGAAAGAATTACGGAAAAGTGACTCGACTGCTGATATTTTTACTCACGAGAAGTATTATTGTGGGGATTTTAAAAAGGTTTTCTGTGCGTCTGGGCTGCCCTAAGGGAGTGGAAAGATCCTGGAGGGATCTAATGGCAGATTTAGGTTGTGACACTTAAGGCACTTTATTATGAAGTCAGCAACCTAAGACAAATGGGGGGTTCACTTCTCTTAATTGCATACTGTTTTGCATAGAATTGTGTGATTCGTATCATCACATTGTCATCTTCCCCTCCTTCCTTTATCCTTGTAACAACCTTCAGCTGAAAAACCGTAACAAGTTCTCAAGAGATGGTGGAAGCTTTAGGGTTTACACTCCAGTCTCTCCAAAGCTCTAACCACTACATTCCACCACCACGGCTGCTAAGTTGTTCCATATGAACCCCATTTGCTAGAGGTGTAGGAGAAACAAGAGGAGAGGGTGACTGTGATGGTTATACCCCATTTGCTGTTTTCCTATTACTACCTGCTTATCCATTATACAGTGCTGGACTTGATGAACCCACAGTATTCTTCTGTTTGATTATTGTTTTGCCTCTCTTCAGTCCCTGCCACAAAGTTGAACAAATACTCAGGTGTTATTGAGATAAACCTTCTAGAAAATAGGCTCACAGCCTGTCTGTGGGGATTTGGAAACTTTGCTTTTAAAAAAAAAGCAAGCCCACAGTTGCCTTTATTTGAAGCAGTTGCTATATATTTTAACATTTAGCCTACAATTCTCGTTCGTTTTATGGATTGTGGTGCTGTATCGGGTTAGGAGACTGGATCACCTCTCTCCCTTTTTACTCTTTGGCCACTTGTATTCTTTTCATCTGAAGGTGCTGCTCTTGTTCTTGGGGGATTTTTTGTCACCTTCTAAATATACAAGTAATAGATCCTCAGGGGCTCAATTAAAAATGTTGTCATCTGTTGGGACTCTGCAATAAACAAGTGCCTTTTCTTGGAAATTCTTAGCCATGCTTTCCTCTTTAATTTTTTTTAAATGTAAAAGACCACTGGTTTCAAGTAAATCGCATTCTGACGTTCTGTATGAAATATAACTTTATTAGCACAATAGCAGTGAAGTTATCAATTATTCCAAGCATACAGTGGAGATGGGGGAAGGGTAGGTGTAAACAGGACATTAATCCACCCTGTTCAAAGAAATAATCATTTGGAGTGCTTTTGTGACAAATTTTGTATTATACAAATGTATTGCAACAACCGAAGTCTGCAGGACTAATTTTTTTAATTCAATATTTTTTTCCTTCAATGGAAATAGTGTTGTATCTGTTTCTCTTCTGACAAATTGGATTGAGGGGAGATTTTGCTGGTTTTATTTGTTGCATTTCATTTCTTTTTCTTAATCTGTACCCTGACTAAGAATACTCCTCTTTAAGAGGTTGCAGTGTAGCCTTCACATCCCAGATTATATGACCTTGGCATGTGGTGCCAAAATAGAAACATTAATAAAAGGGGGAAAAACCCAGTGATAAATACAGTCATCAGCTGCCTTGGTAGTAATCAAATCTTTGTTGACTATAAATCCATGCACCTGATGCAAGGACAACTGTAACTGAATGACGATAAAGACAACATTTTAGGTATTAATCCCCCCCTTCCCATGCTGACTAATGTAAAATTATTTACAACAGTGTATACTTCCATTCCAAGCCTGCTGGCCATTTTGAAAAACAGAACTGAAAGCTTTCCGTAATCAGTGCAAAATTAGATCCATTGTAATGGATCTTGTACAGTATTTGCTTGTAGCTCTGTCACCACGGAACAGGGATAGTAAAGTGACGACAGCTGGCAAGAGTGGTCTTTTAGACTAGATGAGTGGGGTATAAATCAAATCAAATCAATCAATCAATCAATCAATCAATCAATCAATCAATCAATCAATCAATCAATCAATCAATCAATCAATCAATCAATCAATCAATCAATCAATCAATCAATCAAAAGTCTATAACAATAATATTTTTCCTTTCTTTGAGAAGCGTGTCAACAAAAATATTCACCACTTTTAGGAATGCTAGGTATCTCATATCATTAGAACCTGTGGAATGTTTAGTTCAAGCTACATCCAATTGTTGATCCAAACAAGAGTCAACCCATAGAATCAAAGCAACTTTTATAAGCATTGATGGGGGAAAAATCCCATTTGCTCAATTGGTCTACTAAAGTTCTGACTTACTGTTGGATGTTTATCATATTATACAAGGTAATCAATCTTCTAAGGTGGAAGAAAAGGGGAAGATTCTTTAAGTGCTATTGAACTGATTATCCGGAGAGAACTGACATTTCAATAAGACCTGTCATATATTGAAAAATGGAATGTGGAGGCGGAGGAAAAGCTCCTAAGTAATATCACATCTAGATTCTTTAAAGTTCTTTTTGACCAGGGATGGTCCACTGATACCGTGAAGTACCAAAATTGCCCACAGTTTCATAGAAAAGAGAAAGAAGGAATTTCTCCAAAGTTGTAAACTAGACAGGGTTTGGAATATAGGTATTTGCTTCTTTTGATCAGGTTCAATGGTGTCTGCTTTATTATAGATCCTGAATGTCCACGAGAGGTCAGCTTATCTGGCCCAATGTCTTTCCGATTGCTAGACGAGTGTCTGTAGAACAGAATGGTTTGAGAGTCCTGGTATTAGCCATCTGTTTTGTAATGTGAACCACGTTCAACGTTCAAAAGTTGGCTTTGGGGAACCTTAGTAAGCATGGTTTAATCTACAAAGTCTCAGATAGTCAGGATCCTATTCATAGACTGTATTTTCTCTTCCCCACTTGGGTTCCCAGATGTTCTTAGACTACAACTCCCAGAAATCCTGGCCAGCAGAGGTAGTAGTGAAGGCTTGTGGGTGTTTTAGTCCAAGAACATCTGGGGACCCAAGGCTGGGAACCATTGACTTAGAGCAACACACCTCAACTGTTTTCCAACTGATCTGTGGGAATACTATTTTGGGAGAACCTGCTCTAAGGTGTAGCTGATGTTGAGAGTACAGCATAATTATTGTTTATTTATTGCATTTATACCCCACCTTTCCTCTAAAAGGTGGCCCTCCAGGAGGCTTACAGACTGCCTAAAGGAATAAAAACAGATGAAACCACTTTAAGCTTAAAAAAAATCAAATGAACTCCATTGTACAGCCATGAAAATCAAATAAATACATTAAAACTTTTATTTTTTTAAAAAAGATGTGGTTAAAAACCCTTCTTAAATTCAGTCATTGTGGAAACAGATTGCAATCCAGCAGGGAGGGCCTTGAGAAGGCCTTTTCCCACAGGCTTCTTTGGTGAGCTTCTGAAATTGTTGCTATTTTTGAGAGGTTTTTCTCCTGAAGATCTTAAAGTCTGGACAGGCTCATAACAAAACAGGTAGTCCAGTACATAGCTGAGCCCAAAAGTGTTTAGGGCTTTAAAGGTTAATATGAACACCTTGAATTGGGCTCAGGGAACAACTGGCAACCAATGCCAGTCTTTCAGCATCAGAGTCATATGATGATGATACTGTGCACCCATCAGCAACTTAGCTGTATACATGTGCACACGTGTGTTTGTGTTATATGTGTCTGATACCTATTTGTCTGTCTGTTTTTTTAACTGATGTATGCTGCCTTGTGGTCCCTTATTGCACTGGTTCTTAACCTTGGGTTACTCAGGAGTTTTGGACTGCAACTCCCAGAAGCCTTCACCACCAACTGTGCTGGCTGGGGTTTCTGGGAGTTGCAATTCAAAAACATCCGAGTAACAAAGGTTAAGAACCACTGCCTTATTGGAAGAAATGGAGGGATATAAATAAAGAAAATAAACAAATAAAATATCTATGTATCTCTCGATGCTAGACCATACAGCTGTGCCAGCTGTAGTATGATCAGATGTGCCTCCAGTGGGTATTTGATGAATCCTTTCACGGCTGATAGTCAACAAGACATTGAATGTTTCTCTTCCTCCAGCAAATGTCTATAGTTGCCAGACCTAATGATGCTTCTATCTGTAGCAATAAGCAAGCTTCTAAGGGTCCTTGAAGCTCATCGGATATGTTGTTAGATAACTTCAGTTCATTGATGTAGGATGCCTACACTGGTTGCCAGTTGCTTCCTGAGCGCGTTTCAAAGTGTTGGTATGAACAGAGGCCGAGGAAGCTGCTCTTCTCTGGATGTTGTGACTATGGGAGTCATGTGATTCCCATGATTTTTCACCATTGGCAGTGCTGGTAAGAAATGATGGGAGGTGCAGTGCAAAAACAGATGCAGAGCCATGTGTTCTCCACCTGTGATGCCCCTCCTAGAGAACTAACCCATTCCTTGACCTCCGGATCTCATTGCTAGACCCCCCCCCCCATGATTACTATAAGAATTACTAATCTTCACAATACTGGTTTGTAAAACAGCTAAGGACCAAG